GGAGTGGACAGCTCTTTGGCCAGAGGAGGACTGCCTGGTCGCAGTTGACCGAGTGGTTGAAGGCTGTCAGAGATAACCCAAGGATCTAATTTGGATTTTGTTGAAGTGGTTCCTGATTTATTTTAATTATCCTTACTGCACTTACATTTAGTTCAGTGGACAGTTCTATTTAATTAGAAAAGCTCCTTCCATGATTTAAATTTTGCTTGTCACTCACAGTTTAAAGTTTAAGCTCCTAATTGGAGGCCACAAACGAACCATAACACAGAACTTGGGATTCTCTGACGCCGACATACCCTTTTGATTTGAAATGAAATTCTCTGATGCCAAAGGTGTTCACCATGTATCTTCAATCTGGCTTTTTCTCCTATAAGAGGAAAGGCAGTCCAGGGGAGTTGGTTCTAATGATGAGGGTGTGGTTGATGAAGAATCCATGCTCTAAGAGTATGTTCAGATCATTGTCCATAGACAAGAAAGCAACCAAAGATCAGCCAGTTCGACCTGCCTCTAACACAGGAGGCTTATACAATATCCTGGTATGTGGTCATCAGTGTAACCTTTTTTTTTTTTTGTGATAAAATACACATAACTCCACAGAATCCACGTGGTTATCAACACTGGTCATTTCTCAATTTTATTTTTATAATAGCCATCGTAATGGGTGTGAAGTAGTAGCTTATTGTCATCGAGGTATTCTTACACATTTCCCTCCCGAGGTGGCGAGTTCAAAACAAGACCAGGAGAATGTTACAGACCATCTACTAGTTGTAGAAAATTCTTACTATTTGTTACTAAATCTTACCTTTCTCTAGCAGTGACTCTCAACCTTGGTTGCCCATCAGAATCACTTGAGAGCTGTTAAAAATTCCAATATTTAGGCTGCAAAACCCAGACCAATTAAATCCATGTCTTTGAGATTAGAGCTCATACATCGGCATTTGTGAAGGCTCCATAGGTGATTAAAAAAATGTCTTATTTAAATTCATTTATAATTAACATATAGTGTGTTCTTAGTTTCAGGGGTGGAATTTAGTGATTCATCAGTTGCACATAACACCCAGTGCTCATTGTATCAAGTGGCCCTCCTCAATGCCCATCATCCAATTACCCCATCATCCTGCCTACTCCCCTCCAGCATACCTCAGTTTGTTCTCTAGAGTTCAGAGTCTCTTCTGGTTTGCCTCCCTCTGTTTTTATCTTATTTTCTTTCTCCTTCCCTTCCCCTATGTTTTGTCTCTTAAATTCCACGTGTGCGTGAAATCACAAGGTATATGTCTTAATGTGTAACCAAAGTCGAGAACCACTGCTTCCAGCCTGACCATTGGTCCCACTTAGTTCCATATCCTGCAGGACATCAGTTGCTACAACCCTATCACAGTACCTTCTCGGATGACTCCTATTAAATAGCCAGCCTTTCCTCCCGCTCTGGGAGTCCTGTCCTCCACTCCCTCCTAGATTTTTTACCATAATATGTATCGCTGGCTGATACTTCACATAGTTTCTCATTTATCTCTTCATTGTCTGTTCTCTGTTTTGCATATCTCTGCTTCTAGAAGATAAACAACAATGCCTAATGAGAGTAGGTGTCAGAAAATAGTGTGGAATGAATGAATGCATAAATCTACTCTTATTTCAAATGACAGGGCTTCAGTTAGTTAAAAATGGCTTCTGTGTCTTCTCTGCTGGTCTTCTCTTCTCTAGATAAAACCTTTGTACCTACAGCCAGTCTTCAAAGACGTTGATGAATAAACTTCACTCTTATGAATACATTGTCTTTCTTTCACTAAATTAGGAAATAATTGAGTACTTCCCATGTACTACCCATACCTGTACACACAATTTGCAGATTAGACACCGTGCTAGGATCTGGGAATTGAGGTGAAAAGAGAACCAAAGTCATTCTGTGGGAGTGAGACAGAGACAATAATCAACAACAGAAGTCATTTCAGATAACAAGTGCTATAAAGAAAATGTACAATGTTTGTTGGCTGTGGCACATTAATAGGGATTAATTTTACTCTGAGACCTGAAGGACAAGAAGAAGGCAGCCACTGAAGAAGCATTCCAGGAGGAAGGCACAGCAAGTACAGAGACTCTGAGTGAGGGTGAGGGGTGGGAGGGGGTGCCGGGCATGTTTCAAAAGGGCTCTCAGTCAGAGCCTCAGAGAAGGACAAGGAGAAAAACCACTGACACCTCCTTTGATAGACACTTCACCTGCATTCACATGGTCTAAGATCAGATTAGTTTGGGGTATCACTCTCTTGAAGCCTTTTCCTTCTGAATTAAATCTTCCCTGTCCAATATTTGTTAACATGGTAGTTGGAACTTAAGTATGGAGGAGTGATTTGGATGAACATAGGTTGAATTTTTTTTCCTGAACCCTTAGCCATAACAACTTCAATCAGTCAATCAAAACACTTGTCAGCAGAGTGGAGGAAGTTGCTGCTTTTCCAACCACTGCAATGCTGGGTCCTTATTCCAATTGGCCCCTTGTCTTCCATGCCTAATGGAAAAAAATTGGGGGCCAGAACTAGAACTTGGTGGGCTGCTGCTATCTGGGGCCGGCACATCTTGGTTTTCAGTCGAAGTAGCTCAATAAAGACAGCTGTTTCTTGTATCTTGGGACCCTGTGTTTCCATTGGGGGGCTCACAGGACAAGCAGCTTCTCCCAAACCAGACATTAATATATGTTGACAGTTCAGTTCTCCCCTCTTGGCCTCAATTTCTCCATATTATAATGTAGGGTTTGGGTCTGGAAGTTTTGAGATCCTTTTGAAACTTCATTAAAGAAGAAAATTTCATTACTACTCTATTAAAAACAAAACTTTTATAAAAGTTGGGTATTTATCCTTTCTGATGGAGACATAATAATCCGTTGTATATATGGACCGTATCTTCTTTATCCATTCATCTCTTGAAGGGCATCTTGGCTCTTTCCACAGTTTGGTGACCATGGCCATTGCTGCTATGAACATGGGGGTGCATAGGGCCCTTCTTTTCACTACATCTGTATCTTTGGGGTAAATACCCAATAATGCAATTGCAGGGTCATAGGGTAGCTCTAGTTTTAATTTCTTAAGGAATCTCCACACTGTTTTCCAAAGTAGCTGCACCAACTTGCATTCCCACCAAGAGTGTAAGAGGGTTCTCCTTTCTCCACATCCTCTCCAACACTTTTTGTTTCCTGTCTTGTTGATTTTGGCCATTCTAACTGGTGTAAGGTGGTATCTCAATGTGGTTTTAATTTGAATCTCCCTGATGGCTAGTGATGATGAACATTTTTTCATGTGTCTGATAGCCATTTGTATGTCTTCTTTGGAGAACTGTCTGTTCATGTCTTCTGCCCATTTTTTGAGTGAAATAAGTCAAGCAGAAAAAATCAATTATCATATGGTTTTACTTACTTTTACAGCATAAGGAATAACATGGAAGACATTAGGAGAAGGAAAGGAAAAGTGAATTAGGCAAAATTGGAGGAGAAGACAAACCATGAGGGACTGTGGACTCTGAGAAACAAACTGAGGGTTTTGGAGGGGGGTGTGGGGAGATGGGTGATCCTTGTGGTGGGTATTAAGGAGGGCATATATTACATGGAACACTGGATGTGGTGTATAAACAGTGAAACTTGGAACACTGAAAAAATAAAATAAAACTAAAAAAGTAAACCTTTTTCTTACAGCTTCTTAATAACCTGCAGATTTTGTGCTTTCATTATTGGGGACACTTGCTTCCAAATTAATAAAAACGGACGAATGGATAAGGAAGTATATGTGGTCCATATACATTATGGAGTATTATGCCTCCATCAGAAAGGATGAATACCCAACTTTTGTAGCAACATGGACGGAACTGGAAGAGATTATGCTGAGTGAAATAAGTCAAGCAGAGAGAGTCAATTATCATATGGTTTCACTTATTTGTGGAGCATAACAAATAGCATGGAGGACAAGGGGAGATGGAGAGGAGAAGGGAGTTGAGGGAAATTGGAAGGGGAGGTGAATCATGAGAGACTATGGACTCTGAAAAACAATCTGAGGGTTTTGAAGGGGCTGGGGGTGGGAGGTTGGGGGAACCAGGTGGTGGGTATTGGAGAGGGCACAGATTGCATGGAGCACTGGGTGTGGTGCAAAAACAATGAATACTGTTACGCTGAAAAGAAATAAAAAATTAAAAAATTTTTAAAAAATGCTGAGTTTACACTTGGAGGGCAGGGTTTATAGGACCAACTCAGATGCTGAAATTGACAAGAACACAGATTTGAGCTATGATGTTGGGCACCGAAAGAAATAGGATTCAGGGCAGTGAAAGGAACCCCTGGGCATATTGATTGGCTGCCGTCTTTGCGATGGATTTCCCAGAATCAGAGATCTGTTTATTCAGGTCAACTTTATTAGAATAATCTTCAAGCCATGACCTCTCCCTTGGACAGGCCGCCTATACACAGCAGCTTCTACATGGACAGGGACAGGGTTCTGGAGACGAGGTGGCCCTAGTATTCATGCAGACCCTGGTCCAAGTTACTGTCATTCATTCATCCAATGCCATCTTTCCTTCATCTGACAAATGTGAGTGATACACTGTAATTGAATTGATCAGTGGATCACACCGACAAGGGCTCTGCCTCATGGAGCTTACACTCTAGCTGGGGAAGGAATCAACAAAATACATTTCTGAGCACAACTGAAGTAAGTGATCTGAAGGAAAGTCACACGCTCTCTGATGGGGAATAACTGCAGTTTCAGGGTAGTTAATTCCCCTCTCTGAGCCTCCTCCACTTAATGGAGGAGTTAACTAGTATAACATGTGAACTGACAGTTACAGACATTGGCATACAAGAGGTACACAATAAATGTGTATTACAGCTGCTCAGTTAAAGTTACCTTCCTGAAAATAAATGAGGGAAAAGATTTTCTTTCCCGTGTCTCAGAGTTTCCTTTAATTCTGTGTGTGTGTGTGTGTGTGTGTGTGTGTGTGTGTGTCCGCGCATATGTGTCTTTCAGTTCCAAGGAGGGTTTTGGGTCAGTGGAGAAGGTCGTGCTGCTCACGTTTCTGTCAGCGGTTATCCTGATGGCCATCTTGGGGAACCTGCTGGTGATGGTGGCTGTGTGCAGGGACAGGCAGCTCAGGTGAGTAGCAGGAGGACACCTCAGGAGGAAATCAGGGTAGAATTCTAGGCTAGGCTCTCCCTGGACAGTTGGGATCTGACCTATGAATTCCATTACAATTGTAATTATGAAAGGGAAATGATATTGTGAAATAGAGCAGGAAATAGATGACACATAATTCCCCATGACTAACATAACCAGTGTAAGTGCTTATGATAATTTCTGTCCCATCTTTTTTCCTGTGTTCAACTTAGGGTTTTGGCAGGGGGTTGGTAATAGGTGTGAGATACACACACACACACACACACACACACACACACGCATATATATTAGATATGAGGTGTATATATACACCTCATATCTAATCTAACCTCCCTGGTTTATCAGTGGTTCAGAAAAGAGGTGGCTGCCCAGTGACTAATCTTAAACCTATGTCTTTTGCTCTTTCCACTTCATGACTCTCAACCCAACTGCAATTAAAATCACTTGAAGACCTTTTGAAAATTGCTAATGTGTAGTATAAGTATGTCCCATGTAGTATTTGGAACATACTTATATTAAGTAGTTATTCATTATTTATTTGAAATTGAAATTTGACTAGGTGTCCTCTATTTTATCTGAAACCCTTGGGTGTTGGTGCGTGGGTGGGCTAGTCACCCAAAGTCTCTGAACTAAGTGATCTGGGGAGAGACATGGACATTGATATTTATAAAAATTCACCAGGTGATTCTAGGCTTCAGCCTGGATCGAGGGCCTCCAGGCCGTAAAGGGACATGAAAGATGTGGTCCTGCCTGACCTGTGGCCTTCCTTTCTAAGCAAGGCTTGCACAAATCCAGGGATGATGCCAAGAAAGTGTAAAAGCACGATTCTGACCAGTGTCACAAATGCAAGGCACACAGTAGTCAGGCTCGGAGTGGAATACAGTGGAATTTGACACTGTTTGTGAGGAAGGCCCTTTGGGAGGGTCCCCTGAGAATAACCAAGCCGTGGCCTAAAGGGAAGGGCAGGTGGGGAGAGAGGACAGCCTTCTCCTCCTTATGCCCTCAGGAGGGATTCCATGCATGGGGGAGCTCAAATCCAGCCTGTGTGGCCTCAGGGAAGAAGATGGAGTGATTTGGGTGCAAGAGGGCAAGAGGGTCTGGAAAAGTCGGGTGGTTGGACCGTGCATGCCGTGTGACAGGAAGGAAAGGGAATCTAACAGAATGCATTGCACAGTTGACTTTTTTCCCCTTTGTCTCGCTCCCTTCTTTGTTTCCCTCTCCTTTTTTTTTTCCCCTCTTGTGCTCCTGTCTCCCCTCTTTTCCTTTGTCCCTCCCCCTGCTTTTACTCACAGGAAGATAAAAACCAATTATTTCATTGTCTCTCTCGCCTTCGTGGATCTGCTGGTTTCGGTGCTGGTGATGCCCTTCGGTGCCATTGAGCTGGTTCAAGACATCTGGATTTATGGGGAGATGTTTTGCCTCGTCCGGACATCTCTAGACGTCCTGCTCACGACGGCATCAATTTTTCACCTGTGCTGCATTTCTCTGGATCGGTAAGGGCAGAGCAATGGGCACAGCAGAGCTCCATGCTGGGGGCAGGGACCTGATGGCTATTGGCCCACACCTTCCTTTCTTCCCTAGTTCCTTAGAAGGGATGAATCTCAGAGAGATAAATCTGGATACTCATGGGTTCCCCCACCCTCCAGTCTCTACAGGGGGCTCCATTTCAGTCAGGCCCTTTCTCAGGTCCTGCAAACACAGAGATTTGAAAGGCTTAGAACCTACCTGAAGGGGAGCTCGCAATCTAGACAGTGACAGGTGGCTAATGTGTGGAAATCAGACCCACCCTAGAGCTCTACATTTTATACTGATGGTGTGATCAAAACTCGGAGGGAGTAAGAATCAATACACCAGCCCTGTAGGTAGCAGGGCTGGTTCAGAAGGATAGTCTCATGTTTAAACATTACCTCCTCCCCCAAAACGTGTCTGTATTATGATTTTATGTGCATGCAACTTGGGGAGTCTTTTCCAGAAACTTAATTATAAAATCTCGAATATTTGCTTGTTTGGGGGATGAGGGGTTAGCATGCAGATTTTGTTCTTTTTCTTCACATTTGACTTCAGGAGGCCTAATGATTTCCATCTTTGCCTTATTTGTTTGAGATATAAATTTGTCAGTTGTATTAGTTCCTGTGCATTTGTATTCAGTAGTAAAAGCAGAATGCAATTTAAAACTCAGATGATTCTAGGATCATAGGCCACCACCATGGTATCTGTATCTTAGGGCTATCTCCCAAAAGAAGGTGTGGTGTGCGAGTCACATGTTATCAGAATGAGCAGGGACAAACTTTTCCTGTCTCTGGAAGAGTCCAAAAAACCCAGTTTTTTTTCCGGTCTAGGGATAGGTCGCTGTTTCTTTAATTGGGTGATAGGAAAAGCAGTTGACTAAAATTAGAGATTATGATGTATCCAAAATATGTGTCTTTAAACACGAAAATCAGAGTCTGTCCAGGGAATTACTCACTCTGGGGAAGATCCTGAGGGCCTGAAAGCAGCTGCAGGAACACCGGATTCATCTCCTATTCCATGGGACAGGTGCTTATTGATTGGAATGGGAGTGTAATGGCCAGCTCTGTTTAAATTATGTGAGTTCTTTCTCTCTCTTGATCTACCAAGAACACATAGTTGAATGTGCTGAAGTTAAATGCGCATATGATGAAACTCTCTAGCCATGGACAGTGACATTGGTAAATCTGGCTGCTGGCTGGCATCCAGACCCATAGCCTCTCATGGTTTGAAATTTGTGTTTATCAGCTTATTTACAACAATCTGACTTCAGTCCATGAAAGACTTGAGGACAGTCACTCTATACATGGAAATCAGCATGAAAAGAAATGAAATGCCAAGGAGTAGAAAATGCATGGAAATCTTACAGGCTAGCCTGCATGTGATCATTGCCAAAATGAGTGCCAAGACGGGAAGTGTTACAGGAACTTGGAGAAGGCAAAGCTGGGGGGATCGTGGCACCTGGAGGTAACCTTCAGTTTGGGGCAAAAGCAAGGGAAAGAAAAGGAGCTGAATAGGGAGTGAAGAATTGGGGGGGGGGGTGCGTGAAGAATCATCTCCCTGATATGGAAAATTTACTCTGAGCAGTCCTGAGGGAAGGACTGAAGGTTCCCTAGGGAGATTTGGCTTCAGAGTTCCAGATTAACTGTCAGGAGTAGGCGGGAGCTGTCATGAAGCAGGATGGGCTGGTCGTTAAGAACCATCTGCTGTAGGACTGAAGAGATTTGGGTTCAAATCCCTGCTCCACTAATGTTCAGCTCTAAGAATGGTGGTGAGTTATTAAGCTTTTCTGAGTCTTAGTTTTCTCATCTCTAAAAATGGGGGCAATAGCATCTATTTTACAGAATTGCAGTTAGGATTAAGTGAGATAGTCCCCCAAGGCATAGCACCAGCCCGGCTAGGCACCGTTGACAATGCTAGTGGATATTAATTTCAGTTTCCTGCAACTGTCTGTGCGCCTCATGATCCTGCTTATGGAACTTGGACCTCTTCAGGGAATAGTTGCTCCAGCAGATGCATCATCCAGGAATCAAGTAGTTGTTCTTAATGTGGTCTCTCCTTATCACCTGCATTTAAATAGTAAGACCTACTGATTTTCCTTCCTAAACAGATCCAACTCTGTTTCTCCCCATCTTTATTATCCTAGTGCAAACTAATGCCATCTCTTGCATAAGCCACCTCTGCAACCTCCTAATTGTTCTCCCCACATCTACTTTATCCTCCTCCAGTCTGCTCACACCTTGTAAGAGCTCATTGCCAGAGTCAACCATGCAACTCTGATCTTGTTGCTTCTTTGCCTGAAACCCTTCAATGGCTGTCATCAGACTGAGGATCAAGACCAGACTCCTTGGCCTGTAGGGTTTTGTGCCATCTGTCTCCTTCTCTGTCCCGAGCCTCACTTGATGCCCTTCACTGGTCTCACTCTCTGGGCTGCAAGCTGTCTTGGCCCCCTTTCTCTCTCTAGTGCTCTGTGCTCAGCCATCCCAAGACCTTAGCTCCGCCCTCTGCCTGGAAAGCTCCTTTGTCCCCTCCTTTCCTGCCTGTTTTTCAGATTTTAGCTCAATCCTTTCCTCCTTCCAGAAGCTGTCTCTGACCCCATCAAACCAGTTCTGCTTTATAAAATTTAGTGCAATTGTGATATAAATTGATTCTTTAATTTTTTTGCATGTATACTTTTTTATTGAAGTATAATTAATATGCCATGTTATAGTACTTCCAGGTATACACACAGTGCTTCAACAATTCTGTGTATTATTTAAAGCTCACTGTGATAAGTATAGTGACCATCTGTCATGTTATTACATATTATTACAATCTTATTGACTATATTCCCTGTGCCGTACTTTTCATCTCTGTGATTTATTCATTTTGTAACTGGAAGTTTGTACCCCTTCTTCTTCTTTGTCTGTTTCACCCATCTCTGCCCCCTACTTCCCCTCTGGCAACTCCCTATTTGTTCTCTGTATTTAAGAGTCTTAGGGGTTTTTGCTTTTTTGTTTTGTTTTGTTTTGTTTTCTTTCTTATATCCTACTCATATGTGGAATATCTTCCCTGAGGGGAAAAAGTGCAAGGATATGAATAAGGACAGGGTCCTAACCTCATGGAACTTTTCTTTTTCCCCCTTTTAATGGGGAAATTAACAATTGACTACTAATTACATAAATACTGATTTAGGTATTTGGAAAACACTGTTCAACAAATAGAGTATTCAGTACACTCTCTTTTTGAGGAGATACTCTTAAAAATCCTCTTTTTGTGCCACCATCGGTTCCAGTTCCGTCTCTGATAGTGGACATCAAAACCTCCAGTGCCATAAATAAGATGGAGTCAGATGGTTTCATTTGGTTCATTTTCCTCAAGGAGCCTGGGAAATTTGCCAATTGTCTCTAGCATCTCTTGTCCCTAAACCAATAGTCTCATTGTGCTGGAAGGTCCACCCTGAACATGACAACACGACATCTTAGTCTCGAAGAGTATGCTTTTATTTATCATCTAACTTATGTTTGTTTGTTTTTTTAATTTATTTATTTGACAGACAGAGATCACAAGTAGGTAGAGAGGCAGGCAGAGAGAGAGAGGCTCCCCACGGAGCAGAGAGCCTGACGTGGGGCTCGATCCCAGGACCCTGGGATCATGACCTGAGCTGAAGGCAGAGGCTTTAACCCACTGAGCCACCCAGGTGCCCTAACTTCTGTTTTTCTGTGTCCCTCCCAGCCGACAGTTAGTCTGGGCTGGACTGGGCTGAGCCAGAGCACAGAGTGAGTGTGTTAGTGAGATGTGACTCCTGGCAAAATGTTTTGTCTTCCTCTCTGGAACTACCCTGAGTCTGTGGAGACAACTGATCTTGAAATCTAGGGTAGTGCTTCCCAGGCAAAAATGCTGACTGTGATTCTTAATTCTACTGGGATGGCAGACCTTTGGATTAAAGCAAGATGTAGGACTCCATTAATATTATAAAATGTTTTTTTCCCAACTGCAGTGCTCCATCCACTGTGTTTCCTGGTGCTTTGAGAATTGAATCCTATTAATGAAAGTTTATTGCCTTGTTAAAAATCATTTCTGAAGCATAATTAAACTACATGCATCATATAGTATGGGTCATGGGAGACCAGAAAGCTGCATTAAAAGCATTATAGTACAGTTGATTATTTTTAATCTGAGGTTCTGTGGTGAATGAAAACCAAGTATTTGTCATAGAGTACTGGTTCTAATCCAGCCACTAAAAACCATGGGACATAGTTATGTGTATTGACCTGGAAAGAGACCACTGGTGTATTATTTGGAAAAAACAAAAGCAGAAACAAAAAACAACAAGTGTCAGATTTCAATGTTCAGAATAATTCCACTTCTGTAAAATAAATATAGAGATGTTTATATCTAGGTGTACGTTAGTAAGTGTGAGACAGGTAGAGACAGAAAGAGAGAGAGATTGATTATGAATGAAATTGCACGAAACCAATAACAAGAGTTATATGGGCAGGGGGCAGGGGGGCCAAGTTGGGAGTGGTCCTGGCCAGACTGGATAATCAGTTAGATTATCCAACTGATAATGGGTCGGGAGACATCACTCTTACTAACTTCTAAAATACAAGTTTTAAACTTCAGTTTTCCCTTTGCTAGATGTTGACACTTCTTGAATGTAGGAGTATCCATAATAGCCTTTGACTGAAAGTGCTCCTTGGACCAGCACAATCTCAAGTCACTGAGAACATTCTGACATTAGGCTAAGAGTTCCCTCTGAGGTCTGAGCAAGGCAGAGAGCACAGACATCTTCTGGCCAATGTGTCCCCTCTGCTTTCCCACAGGAGGCCCTGGATTCACCCCTCCCCCCACCCCGCCGTGGGAGCCCTCACCATCTCCTAGAGGGTCAGCACCCTCTACTTCCTTCTGACCCTCCCATCCATCTTCCTTGGTCCCACCCCAGGTCATGACCTTTTACCTGACCCCCTGCAGCAGCCTCTTTTCTAATCATCACAGTTTTAAACAA